TTTAAAAACAGAGTTCTTATCTTCAGACCCACGCCATTCTGCAATACCCTGGGAAGAGACCATGGGCGGGCAGGCTAACAGAAACTTATTGACACGGCTTTCACGGCGTACGCACACTCTGTCCTTCCTTAACACTTTCCTCTTTTAAAAATGGCTTTTAAAACATACATGGAAATCCTACCTCTTTTATCTTCAACACAGAAACACCCTGAGTCGTGCTGCACCAGGCACTGCAAAATGCAATTAAGACGATACGGTCCCAGGCGCAGAAATTTTTGCCTGTGGAGGCCAACAGTACAGACCTGGATTTATAGAGTTGTTTCTCTGGCACCGAGGGGCCGGGGCTGGCTGCAGGCTGAGGGATCTCCATGTTCTCACTGGGCCCTATTTCCATGGGGTCCACTTGGAATTGCTCCAGTGTCTCCACGCTCACATCCATCGGCATGCTGGCACCCTGCTTTGTGGGAGAGCTCACGTGCTTGGGGCCACTGCAGAGAGAAAATTTTACATGCTTTCTCAGCAGCTGGCACGTAAGCACAGAGGCAAAGGAAATGAAAGGTATTTCATGATGAAACAGCTCAAGTCCAACTTGGGTGAGTTACTGCATGGAGGCACAGAGATTTGGCTGCGCAAACCACCAGGAACAGCCAAAAGGCTGCTGGAGAGCTGCAAGATAGGCTTGTATGAGTTTCTACTTAAGTATTCAGGGTTGCTGCATTATAGCACACAGCGTTGTCCACAAGTTCTTTTCTTCAGTCCGTAAAGCGTAACTCATTCAACGGGCTCAGAGGGTTGGACTAGAAGGTTCACAGGGTTCACACCAGGCTACCCAAGCAAGCTTTGAAAGACTCCACAGACCCAGTCCCCTGTACCTTCCCAGGGCCACACCACCCTGCCAGGCAAGAAATCTTCTCTCCATTCCATCACCCAGTTCTCTGAGGAAGGTGTTAAACAACATCAGTCCTTGTACTAATCCCTGTGGTGAAAGCAGTGCTTGAAATGAGCAGCCAGCTGAGAAAGCCGTTGGCCAAACTTACAAAGCCTCCCTCTGGTCTAGTTGTGCTTTTGGGGAATGGGAATATTGCAAAGGGTTGGAGAGCAAAGCAGGAAATGTGCACAAAGCAACACAGAGAGATGCTGGGCCTTGCGTTTACACTTGAGATGGCATGAAAGGGAGCAGGGCCTGGAGCCACACGGGAAGAGAAATAAGATGCACTTCAACACTAAGATAAAGTAAAACATTGCCACAGAAAGACTTGCAAGTTTACCTGGTCTTACAAGCAGCAGAAAACATCATTTCTGAGCCTCTTAGGATATAAACTTGCTTACTCTGGAAAGGGAGTGAAACAGCAGAGGAGCACATCATCACCTCTACAGGGAAAAACCGGTTGTGCTATTGCAGTTCTGCAGTTACCTTTTCACTTTCTTCGGTCTATCAAACCGAAAGTCAGCAGGATAAAGGTGAACGGTGACCAAGTGATCCTTTCTGTCTTTGCTGCTCTTGAACTTCTCTGCACAGGCTTCTACCAAACACTTGTACTGAAAGGCAGGGAAAAAAAAAAAAAGAGACATAATTGGAAGAGGCAAGCGGTGTCAGCTGGGGACGTGGGTGCCCTCCCCAGTCAGCCTCTAAGGACGCCAGCCCACGCCGTGCCCCCCAGCCACGACTGAATGGCTGGGCAGGGAGACTCACCATGTTTTGCTTCTCGGCCATTATCTGGAAAAGTGAGTCGTGCCACTCCAAGATGTGAATATCCAAGAGATGCCCCGATGGAAAGGAGCGCTTGCAGAAGGAGCAGACGTTCCTGTGCAGTGTGTTGTAGTGGTGCTCATAGTCCTCCACTGTATCAAAGACCTGGCAGCACCCAGAGATGTGGCAACTGAATTCAGACACCCTGCGGGGAAATGAGGACATCCGTGACTTAAATTAAATTAGAGCCTTAATTTCAGCTGCATATATCCCTCTAGATGACTTTATTTACTTGTGGCATTTTTTGTGAATAATACTTAAATGAAATGAAAGGTGCAATGGAATGAAGATTATGAAGGTACTGGCAGTTGGAAAGTCTTATTTGCCATTACGGCTTAAGCATCATATACATTATCATCCTCTGAAGTGGTGCTTCAATTAAGAATAAACATCAAGCAGCAATATGAAAAATAAGCTGTTTGACCTTAAAGTTGCAGCTGTGAATTAAAACTTTGTGCCAATGCTGTTTAACAGGCATCTGTAGGATAACCTCACACAATCCTCACAGTACTTCCTCAATTTTGTATACAAGAGCAGGTTTTAAAGCAAGCTGAAGATTCTCCCCCAGGCTTAGCCTTCCTAATTGAGTCTGTCTGTACCACACAGCTCTCCCACTGTTTTGACTGAGTGCATAATAACATGCCACTTAAATCCTCTTGTTTAGCTACAATCCCAATTTTCAGCCATATTACAGATGCCTTACCTGCTTATGGGGAACTCCCAGTGAAACGATGTCACATCCAGCAAGCACAAGAAGTCAGCATTTAGACAGACAGCTGACTGCAGCACAAAATACCAATTTTTTACCTTTTCAGCGGGATATTGAGGTCTGCAAACTGTATCACCTCATTTCCCTTTTCAAACTGCTTTGCAACACGTCTGTGTCTTCTCCCTTTTATTTCTCCCCCTCGGCCTCTAAAGTCCACAGGCAAGAGGAACGGCACCCGTCCCAACATCACACCCGTACAACGCAAGCCGACAGGGTTCATACCAGCGGTGCCGCATGCTGATGCGACACGCAGCGGGAGATACGACCCAAGGGGCACCCCTGCAGCCACCGCGATGCCTGGGTGGCGTGCGGGCCCTGTCTCACTTACTTGGGTCTCTCCGCCGCCTCCGCGAGGCTGGTGAGGACGCCCTGGAGGTAGAGGTGCCTGTGAACGTCCCCATCCTAAGAGAGGAGCAGAGAGAGGCCGTGGGCGGGCAGGCCTGCCTCCACAGAGCTAACCCTTCTTCTCCACGGAGACAGGCCGCGGCGGGGCCCGCGCTGGGAGAGGTCCGGGAGGGGGCTCTGAGGGAGCACGGCCGTTGCTTTCCACACAGACCGGGCCCGGAGGCCCAGACCCGAGAGCCTCGCCCGGCGCGGGGAGGCCCCG